TACTAATTGTTATAGTTAGCTTTAAATCTAGGTAAAATACTAGATTATTAATAAATGTAAATATTGATATTTTTAAAGATGGAAGCTTTACTGTAGAAGGAAAGTTGTAACATACAAATTCCTCTAAAATTGCATTCTATTTCTGCATTAGAAAGTAATCTGTCATATTTTATTTCTTTTCTTAAGGGGTGGATACTTAAAGTACTATATTCCTTTTTCCCAGATTAGCAGGATTTAGGCATACTGTTTGAGAATTTCAGAGGCAGAACATCAAGGAATCTAAATAAGAGTGAAAGCAGTCTCACCTGATAGGAAAACTTGAAAACAGCCGAAGAAAATATCCATTAAAGTGTCAATTTCCAATTTTTAAAAACGTTTTACTAGGTTTATATTTTGCCTTTTGTATAGGAGCTCAAGTTGACATAGAATGCTTCCTCCTCTTATTCCTCACCATAACAGTGCTGTGAGATAGGTTGGCCTAAGAGAGCACAACTGGCATAAGTCATCCAGTGAGCTTCCATTGCTGAAGACAAACTAAAGTAAGAGCTTCACACTCCTAGTCTGACAGCTCTATATTGGTTCTCATTTTGAAAGAGGAATCATGATCAAGTATTTCTGATAAATTCAAAATATAAGAATTCTACACTTTAATTCCATCAAAGCTACAAAATTATTCCAAATTCCTATTCCCCAAATACACACCAGTTGTTTAGATTATGACCCAGAAATCATAAACAAATCTTTATGAATTATAGTCATTAAACTATACTTATTAATCTATGCAGTTAATGCTAGTACTTAGGAACAATATGAGTTTCATTCTTTGTTCAAAATTTATTAATAAGATTTGTAAGAGCTCAAAATTTAGGTTGTACAGTAGTAAAGAATGAAGTCTTCAGTGAACAAAAGAATCATTGTTATAATACGTGTTATAGTGCTATATATAAGCTATTAAAAGGAAGGGAAATTATACTGTTTATTGTGCCATAATCAGTTATAATTGCTTCTAAGCCTCCAGAAGGATCCCTTGTAGTGAGACAATCTGTGTTTCTGTGGAGCTGTGTTCAAATCTCAGATATCTTTACAGTTTGAGACCAATTAGTTACTGTGTTTTATTTTAATTTCAAGTTTTAATTAATGGGACTTTCATCTCCCAGTACTCTCGAGTAGTAAAAACTCAGATTTTCTGTAGCTCAGATAAGAAATAAATTTCTAAAATAAGATTGCATAATTTTAGTTGTGAGATTTGAGAAATATGCAGTTGTACCTGTAAACGTGGATTTTCTGGTAATGTCCAGTTTACGTAAAAACACGCTTATGTTATGAAGATCTCAACTTTCTTAAAAAATCAGAATCTGTTATCCATGCAAAATACTGTTTTGTTTTTAAATCACAGAAAAAGTAATGGTAGCTGCTTTTTTCTTTAATGAGGTCAGGAATTCTGAATAATATTTTGGACAAATGGTAATCAAAATCGTAATCAGGAGACTGCGAGATCTAATCCCGCTTTAGGCATGAAAGCCATTGGGTAACATAGGGCCAGTCACTCTCTTTTAGCCCAACCTACAGGATGATGATGTGGGGAAAATAAGAAGGAAGAAAATTAGTTATGTTCACCCCCTTGAGTCATTTATAAAAATAATAATGGCAGGATATATACAAATAAATGTCTCAAATGTCCTTGCAATCATATTAGGAAGGGGCAATATAGAATAGGAGAGTACAACCCTTAGGCTCTCTGCAGTGTCCTTCCAACAAGAAAGGTAAAAAAAACCTGATTAAATAATCTCACTTAATTGATTAGAAAATTAGATGATGATTCATTTTGGTTTCTTGCAAGTTTACTTATTCCTGTCCTTGTAGTGCTGATTGAACATATATTGTGGCTTTACAAAAAAGCACTGCTTCGTGTGATTAAAATTAGTGGGAAGGAAAATCATAATGTTCAACTGTTTTTAACAAGATAACATTTTCAGAAGGAAGGCAGATTAGAGAGATGTGTATTCCTGGATATGCATACAGATTTGTGGTGATAACACCAATGTTATGTTGAAACTGAATTACTGTTTGTTTAAAATTAGTTGAGATAAGAAGAAGCAGAATTCCTCAGCAGAATATTAGTTACTATAATTCGGAATTGGGTGGCAAATAAATTTAATACATTATTATTATTATGTGTGAGTAATTTACAGTTAGATTCATAGTCTAAGACTGGTGGAAACTTAACAATTCAAGTCCTAACTAAGGATTTATTATGGTTCATCATCATATAGCCCATATGTTCAGTCTGGATTTGGCTTTTTTGCCCATTTCCTGAGTCCTTCCCAAGTCCTTTAACTTGGAATAGGCTGATGTTGATAAACATATCATCCACAGCAGGGGTGGGTTCTAAAAATTTTTAGTACCAGTTCTATGGGCGTGACTTGTTTTGTGGGTGTGGCTTGATGGTCATGTGACAATTATTTAGTATTTAGCAAAGGTACTGGTCTACCAGGCTTTTAACTGCTTGCAGAGCTGTACCGGTCTACCCATTTGTTTTTGGAGGCACCGGTCTATTCATTTGTTTTTGGAAGCGCTGGTCTACTCATTTATTTTTGGAGGCGCTGGTCCACCCATTTGTTTTTCGAGTGCCCTGCTCTACCATCACACTGCCTTTTAACATTGATCAGCTGTAGGGCGGCCCTTTGAAGCCCCGCGGCAAGAGTTTAAACAGTTTTTTTCCTTCTAGCTGATCAGCTGGGACTTGGGAGGCAGCGAATAGATTGGGGCGGGGCCAAATAAAAGGTAAGAATAACGGAGGGGGGCAGGAGGGCTCAGCTTCCAAACAAAGAGAACCGGTTCGGTGACATATTGTCACCGCTACCGGCTCGGCCGAACCGGGAGGAACCCACCACTGATCCACAGGATGTAAGTTGTTTCAAGCAAAGCTGCCTTTTACAATTGGTGATTTCTGTCAATGCCAATATTATTATTATGTACACAAAAATATAAAACCAGAGCTGCTGTTCTTTAGCTAGTGTTCACCTTCATACACATTGAGTTCTTCCAAAGGGATATTGTAATGTTTCAGTGTAATATACGTGTGCATCCAAGCAGTGTGGCCTTTTGTAATTGACAGTTGCAAATTTTGTCAATATGCATATATTCTTAGAGCTTTCAAACAAAATTTTGGTACAGCAACCAGTATGCCTATAACCTCTGGGACCACCAAGACTGGCTTATGCAGAAACCTTTTAATTATTATTATACTTTAAAATATTCAAACAATCTTAAACATTGTCTTTAATTGTTAATCACTGCCTTAAGGATCTCCATGTTGCAGCTGGAGACTGAGGGCAGAATAACCAGCCAACTTTTATCTAATACTGGAAAGAATACAATGAAGACTCCACCTTTAAGGATAGTCATTCACAGGCTTATGCCTGCATTTTTTTTTTCTGTAAAAAAACAACAACCGACCAAAAAGCCCAATGTGAGTCAGTTTTGTTTTCTTGGGGAAGAGTACACACTTATTCCATTTGTCATACCATAGATCTGTTACAAGCAAAACCAGACTTATTCTTTGCAAAATTAGTGAATTAAAGATTTTATATATTCTTTCACTATCAGAAATATTTGCTTTGGGGAAGTAGGAATTGAGAATTGATTGCAGGGAAAATGAAGGATACATGAGGTTTTGGCTTCTTTCTATCCTGTACAGTTATTATGCTCATTTATATGAATTATTCATGGGTCCTTTTTGTGTAAAACAAAGCAAATGTTAATGGGTCACTTTGCCAGAGTACTTCTCCCTAGTAGAAAGTCATATTAGTTAGTAAGAAGAATATCTCCATTGTTTTCTTTGTGCATTTCCAAAAAAATGAAGGGGTGGGTGGGTGACATAAAGATTGGAAAATTAACTAATTAATTAACACATTCATGAACACAAAGGATTTGGAAGTAGAACTTTAGATTCTTCTCTCAGCTCCTTTGGGATCTGCTAATATGTTTTGGGCTAGCCATGCAAGTTTAAAAAGCATAGACTTTTCACAAGAAAAAATGAAGATATTGAGCTTCTCCATATAATGTAGGAACTATGAAGATTAATATTTTGTCTTGCAGATAACCATGCAAAGCAAAAGCAACCAATCTAGGTAAATACTGGAGTGGGGAAAATAGTTGCTCAAGTACATGTTATTAATATATCAGATAAAATGTTTGAATAGTTAATTATTTGGCTGTTGTGAAGGGTTGCTCATTATTGATTTCTGTGAGATATCTTTCAAAACCTATGTGTAACCACTGTAAGAAGTTGATATATTTGAAAATGGAAGAAATGCCACCTACTTTAACTCCTAAAACAACAACCAAAAAAATAATTTATACTGAGCTTCATAGTAGTCTTTCATTTATGTAAATTTGGCCCTCACCATCCTGACATTATTTTTAAGAGATGTAGTGGCTATCTAAATTTTAGGTCAAATACTGTTGTAAAATACAATATGTTGAACTAGGAGGCATAGTGGTCATAAAAATAATCTAGTGATTGTTTTTCTTGAATTTACCTTCCTGGCATTATAGTAATTATTATTCTACTTTATAATTTGCATATCTTTACTTTGTCCCATGTTAAGGCAAATTTATTTTTCTTTCTCCTTTATTTTTACTTATTTATTTATATTTCATGTTTCTAGACTGCCCATATTGCTCCTTTCCTTGCTACTGGTTGTTTTGCTAACAGGCATCTGTCTGGGATAGGACAAAAGAAGACCATTTTTATTATTTACCTTACCAAATACTCAGAGCTATTGATAATAATTCTGTTAATAGTCTTAATCACTTTCAGTTAATATTACTACTTCATTTCTGTGTTTTATCAACACATATTCTTTATTGACTGTATGTGCTTCTGGTGCTCCCTGATTTAACCAGTATATATATACATTTGACTGTTCTACCATGTTGCTAAGGAGTGCAGCGTTTGTTCTTAAAATAGTATTTTTATTGAATTTTTTACTTAGGTTCATGTTCCTTCCTATGATATGGCCGGGAATGGGTCAAAATCAGAGTGTATCAGTGGACCAAGTATGAAATCACAGCTTCAGGTAACTGGTAAGTCTGTCTATCAGTCCTGTGGTTTGGTTCAGATATTGTCTCTTTGACAGAGTCACCAAATATGTTCTGTTTCTTTTTTATTGTGTTTGAAAATGTTGCATATTTCATTATATAAAACAACATTAGGCAGCTAACAAATTGATTAATTGATTATGTGCTATCAAATCAGTGTCACTTCCTAGCCACATAATTATTTTCCACGAATTAAACAAATATACAATAATAAAAATGCAAGATTAATAGTCACCAGTGCCATGGTATTATCCTCTCAAGAAAAAAAAAAGCTTGGCTCTCTTTACATCAGGACACAATGCCTGAGGGAAGAGCTATGTCTTAACAGCATTCAGGAAGCAAGAAAGATACAGCTTTCCCTATCTTGGCTTTGTATCTACCCTATTCCATACAGTGGGTGAAGCTATGGTGAAAGCCTGCTTGCTAGATCCCACCAGATGACAACTGCTGCATTCTGGACCATTTGAATTTTTTGGGATGATCTTCAAGGGCAGCCCCATATAGAGAAAGTGTCCCTGGGTTTGGGGTCTCCTGGTTCTAGAGAGTTGTTTTCTTTAACTGTCATTGGGTAGTACTCAATAAAGCTGTTGCACAAATTGTGTGTCCTTCTGGACTTGCCACTCCTAAAGAGCAGATGGCAGTCATGGCTTGGGGTGGGGGGGCTTTATACAAACTCATCTTGTGTACCCATTCCTGGAGGGGGAGGCTCTGCTTATGGTCACTTGATCTCTAGTCACTTTTCATTTGGATTTTGCAATAATCCAAAGTAGAAGTACAGTAGTCCATTGTACTAGAGAAGTACTTGGATATCATTGTGAATATATGCTGTATTCTCTTTTTAAAGTTCGTTCTGTTTTAGAAATATTTTGGAAACACTGCCTGCCTTTTTAAGTACTCATGACTTCTGCATATATTAGGGACTTCTTTAATCAGTTATGACACCAAAGGCAAAAGTTTATACTCTCTATTGGATAGATTTTATTTTCTGAATTAGAAGTTCTGAAGGCAATGCTTTTTTAAAGCAGTTTTTCTTTTTTAAACCTCTTCCATGGAAATTACCATCATTTATATGTTTTTGCTAATATAGCTCTTAGTGTTGGTATGATTTGATCAGATAAGGACAGATTTTGGCCAGAAGAAACTGAAAAAAGATTTGACGTACCATGTGCTATCGGAGCTACTACTATTGTTAACATAATATAGGGATTCCTCAGGTGATTAAAAATATGTACTGAGACGGAAATTCCAAACTAAAAAAAAAATAAAAGTATCTATGAGAAACATAGCGGATATGGAAGTCATCTTGCATTAAAATCCTGCTTAGGAGTATGACTTTGTTGGCCTGCTCTACATGATGACCTACAGAGCTGCATTAGCTAATGGGCACTCATCACTATCAGCTAACGTCGCCATTAGCTAACATTGAACTGTGCTGGCCTATGAGTGCATCAGCCCTCTGGAAAACCTTGAGTGAATGCAAGGGGATGGAAGCAGGCAACGATACCCTCCTTTCTTTTGTGCCCTTGTCCACGCATATTCTATATTCTGCACTAGGGGCAGTGCATCTGCATACATTGCAACCCTCGTAAAGAAGTCTTGCTGATAAAAAATATGAATACATTTGGTCAAATGATGTTGGGGCAGAAAGTGAGAGGCCATTTTACCATGCCCTTCCTAGTCTTTCCGAGGACTCTGAAGACATGGCTTTGCCATCATGCTTGGGAATCTGGCTGTGGTGTAGAACCTACTAGATGGCTGTATAAATAGTCCTTGTTTAGTGACTGCCTCCTTTACTGACTGTTCACAGTGACGATACTAATGAAAAAATAACTTTGCAACCAATCCTTGCTTTTACTACCTTCACAAAACTGTAAAGCAAAGGAAAATTGAAGTGAGAGCTGAAATCATTTTTCAGTTACCAACTGTTTTGTTTAACAATCAAGTTGCCAGTCCCAAATGTCTTTGCTAAATGAGGATTACCTGTATGGGTTGTGATGGGTTAATTATACTGTCACCAAATACATTTTCTACCTTTTAATGTTTTTTTATATACAGTATATATACTTACTGTTTTTGTTTAATTTTGTTTACTGTTTCTTCTTGTTTTAATCAGTTGAGCCACAAATCTGAGATTGTTCAGCTGTATTAATTTAAACAAATAAACAAATGGTTTAACATTTCTGAAAAGAAACTTATGTTACGTTGAATATTAATCTTGTGACATAAGCTCAATTTCTTCTTGCTTGACCTAAAAATCACTACTTAGCAGGAGTGTTCTAAATTTGGCAGTGATGACAAAAACTAATGTTCTCTTGCATTTTTGTAATTGAAGTGAGAGACTTGACACTTTTTAAATCAAACTGAGCTCATATAGTGATGTTAATATCAAAGCAAAATGGTTAAGGGGAATGTTAGCTGTTAGCCTCATTCTGTCACTATTATTTTTTATATGTACAATCATGTGAAATTAGATCTAATACTTAGATCTATATATATAATACTTAGAATATATAATACTTATAATAATATAATACTTAGATCTAATACTGACATTGCCCCATTTGACAGAAATAACATCAAGTAGGTGTTTCTTATAACTGTCAACTGGTCTCTGACATTGACTGGAAATATTTTTTCCCATTTCTCCGTATAATTTTTTTTTTCAGCAATGTTTGAGGGCTTTCTAGCATCCTGTGTCAGATCACCCCCATAGCTTCTAAGTGAGATTTTTATCCATATTTTGACTTGCCCATTCCAGAAATCCTCCTTCCTTCCTTCCTTCCTTCCTTCCTTCCTTCCTTCCTTCCTTCCTTCCTTCCTTCCTTCCTTCCTTCCTCCCTCCCTCCCTCCCTCCCTCCCTCCCTCATATTGTCACCTTGTGGTGAGATGGGCAGCAGATAAATTTAATAAATATTATTTATTTATTTATTTATTTATTTATTAGTTTGATTTATATGCCGCCCTTCTCCGGAGACTCAGGGTGGCTTACAATGCTTTTAAGCAATAGCCTTCATACTTTTGTATATGGGGCTTTTGGGCCCCCCAAGCAGTGTTCTATTTTATACAAAGTCAGCTTATTGCCCCCACAAACCAGGTCCTCATTTTACCTTACCTCGGAAGGATGGAAGGCTGAGTCAACCTTGAGCCTGGTGAGAATTGAACTCGCAGTAATTGCAGGCAGCTGGCAGCTAAATACTACTTTAACAGTAGTTTAGTCCACTGCACCACCAGGCTCCTAGAGAAAAATAAGCAAGCAAACAAACAAATAAAATTTTGTGATGGTGGGCTTCTCAGGCCCTGATGCAGCAAAACAACCTCTAACTATAACATTTCCACCAACTTGTTTTATAGTTGGTATCAGGTTCTTCTAGTGAAATGCTGTCTTTGTTTTCATTTAGCATTTGTTCTAATACTGTGATCAAATAACTATCTTTGGTTCATCTCTCCAAAGCACATTTTTCTCGAAATTCTGGTTTTTGCCTAGGTGTTCAGGAGCAACTTTTAGTCTTGCCCTGGTGTTTTTTTCTGGATACCAAACGTTTCCTTCTGGCATTTCTTCTAGGTAGATCTAATTGGTACAGGTTCCTTCTAATAATAGATTCATGCATTGTGACATCAGCAGTGGTAAGAGCTACCTGTAGGTCATGTGATGCAATTCTGGGAATCTTAAAGACCTCTTTCAATATCTTACATTCTGCTGTTCTGCTGAACTTGCTTGGACAGACTAGCCTCGGTAGTGGTTTGAAATCTCCATGTCATGTCCACCTGAGCTGAGCTAGCGATAAATATAGCAATGTGCTTACTTTTTCCTCCATGCAGAATTTTCATCTATGTTTATTTAAATTACACAATGGATTATAAAATGTAAATGGTGCATGGTATTCATTGTATTCTATCCCCTTTATCAATATAGTTGAAATGAAGATCAAATATATGTATGTTGAAATGTATTGGAAAAACTCCAAGATTTTAATGGGCTGTATATTTTTCACATGACTATGCTTATTGATATCACTATATACTTTGGGCCTCACTCTCTCTACCCCAACTAACCTCACAGAGTTGTTGTTGGGACAATAAGAGGAGGAAGGTATGTTGAATATGTTCACTGCCTTGAGTTATTTGTAAAATTAATATGGGATACAAATATATACATACATATATACATAGGTACTTTAAATTTGTTTACACTTACATTTAAGTTTCTAAGCACCTAAAAATAAGCATAGAACAATTTTTAAATGAAAATAATAGCCTTCAGAAACTCCATAAGAGCTACATATAAAATAAAAAAATGTTCTATACACAAGATAATTTTGACTAATAAGCAACCTATAAATGTCAGAAACTATACATATGTACGTGGGTGGAGTGAATATAAACATATATTAATATTAATTCTCATATTTAGCTTATTCAAATAAAATGCACACTTCAGGAACTATAACATACTTTCCAGCCTCCATTCTAAATAAAGTGTTTATAATCTGTATTATTATGCTGCTATCTGTTTTAAATATTGGACAATCTTTCAGTTTAGGTTTGATCTAGTTCTGCTGTAATAAATGCTTCATTCCTTGACTTAAACAAACTGAATAATATGAAACAATGTGATACCTATCTGCAGGTCATTTTTGACCATGTTGTTCTCTCTCTTATTTTTCAAGTTATTTCGGCAAAGTTGAAAGAAAACAAAAATAAGTGGTTCGGACCCAGCCCATATGTAGAAGTTTGGGTTGATGGTCAGTCAAAGAAGACAGAAAAATGCAACAATACCAACAGTCCAAAATGGAAACAGCATCTTACAGTGTAAGTTTAGAAATATAATTTCATTCTAAGAAAAAATAGAAATACAATCAGATAATATTATGGGATGAATATTGATAATGGAAAAATGCAGTGCTTCTAAAGAAAGAGTATAAATGTTCATGGGCATACAGAATTTTGTTTATTTAAATTTGTTGGATACATTGAAGCACATTTTACCCAGTTTACATAACCTATCAAAAATCTTAGTAATTCCTATTTTCATTAGTCTGAGAGGAAGAACATAATTACTTGCTGCCTAAAAATTCTATTGGTCCCCAAATAAATGGAGAAAATGTCTCCATTTGCGTAGCCTTCTAAACCCAATAAATGCCTGGAGTTCTCAGGCTATATGATGCCATGACGGTCTAAAATAATAAATGAATTTGTTGAAACCTCCTGACCCCAAAGAATAAAACAAATTACTTCATTGGGATTAAATGGGGAAAGAAGTACATACATCAGTATTTACTAAATGTTGATGTGTTTGTCAAAACAATGGCAACCATTACAACTTTATAAAAGAATACCGTTTAATTGGAAATGAAATTAGTTATTTTAAATGGGAACCTTGCTAACTTTTCTATAACTCCTGAAATCCAGGTTTCATGTTAAGTAGTTACTTTCAATTGTCATTTCACATTTACTTTTGATTGATCTTTATTTTTTTCTAACCACAACTGTAGAAAAACATTGACTAACTCTTGCAAATGGAATCAGTATGTTCATAGCTTTCTCTTTAAATTCTTGGCACTTATTGTGCACACTAATCCAAAATTCAGGGAGAGATACTGCCAGGGAAGGTTTTTTTTTTTTTTACAAGGAAGTGTCAGAAGAAACATCAATGAATTGTTTCCAGTAACAGCGTACATATCAGTTATCAGTTTAGCATCCATTAAAATAATGGATAAAAATACTGAAAATCAATAAAACAAATATTTCTAGAGATACTTCTAAGATTTTGGATGTTCTACATGTATATTGTGCCAGCAAAAATGCCAAAACATTTCAAGAAAAGCCAAATCCAGGAATGATCAATACTGTAATAGTTTGTTGCATGATCTGTAGGTATTGGACATTATAGTTTGCAGAAATTTATCTCCTTTCAGTTCAATTAAAGGCCAAAATTAACAAAGTACATTTCAGTTTAAGCAAAGCAAATGTCAAAACCTTAACAGTTTTTTTGACATAATATTATTGGCTGCTAAGAAAAAGAAGCAGTCCACTGGAATGACTTCTAGAGTAAGGTAAACAGTTGTAGGAAGAAAAAAACTCAAAATTACTCATTATATTGTTTTGAAATAACTAAACTAAGACTCAGATTTGTATGTTGGATTATATCCCACACTGAATATTCCCACAGTTGTTTGATATTTTCTTTCAGAAAATGTTTGATCAGCAGCTGGAAATACTAGTATAAATATGCCTAATGTATGTAAAATAATCTAAACATTAAAAAGAAAGTTAACATAGTAAAGCGACTAGCACTTTGATTACAGTTCATATTTCACCTAAAAACTCCAGCCTTCAAAATTTTAAACTATTAGCAACTTTTTTCAAAGTTGTGTGGTATTTTGATACATAATTTAAATGAAGGAAAGATAAGTAGTTTGATATTGCTTCTGCTTCTTTAGAATTGTCTCCCCTGTTAGCAAACTACATTTTCGCGTATGGAGTCACCAGACATTGAAGTCAGATATCTTACTTGGAACTGCCACTCTAGATATTCAGGAGAAACTAAAAGCAAATAATATGAAACGTAAGTATGTAACAACAAATTACTGAAAATTATATACTTTTACATACATGGAGCCCTCTTTAAAAAAAATATAACAGCATAGCTATGTCTGATACAGGCATGCCGATAATTTCAAAATTAAAACAATTGAATTCGAAATAATCTGTTTGGAGATAAAAACAATTCTTTCAGGTTCAAATTGGGTTATCTATACATTCTGGAAATATTTTTGAACTTGAACCAATTATGTTCTGAGTTCTAAATTAGGGCCAATTCAGAAGGAGCAATTGTCTGAAGACCTTGTGAGCAATCTCAAGTCCTCTCCTTGCCTGGAGAGGAATTATAATGAGCCAGTCTATTTGTTGGCTCTTCATTCTATTGTGGTTATCAGCTTCACTTTTAGCAAAGCCATCTTCAGTTTGCCATTTCTTCCCTGGAAAGATGTTCCCAATTTTATAATCTTTGTATATATTTGAAACTGTTGGTCTAATGTCAATAGTGATGTCATTTCTTAGATTTTAAACAATGCCATTCTAATTCATTCTCGACACTTTGAAATGCACATTAATGTATGGTGATGTTTCTAAGGGATGTTGATACTTAAAATTATACAGAAATAAATGAGTTGAAATAAGAAAATTATTTGCAAAGAACTCTGATTTTTTTTTTATCATATTAGTCGAGTGATTTGACTGGAAATCCTATTTTAAAATACAGCAGCAAAAACTTTTGCAGGAAGCTTTGCTGCTGAATTGCCCATTCAGTTAAAAATCTGCTGTACCACATTTGAAAAACATTTGTGGTCCTCTTGGTGAATGTCAAAATATCTAAGCCTTTTTCAGTTGGTGCAATAATGAAACAAATGTAAGAGCTCATTTCATCAATGTGATTTATTTCCATAGACTATTGAAAAATGTGTGGTACAATAAGGGCTGATATAAAGATAAACGTGAAAAAATAGGAAAGGAGTATTGAATTACAATTAACACTATCAGCAACCCTTTAAAATGCATATATGGGGGATTTAAATATTTTGTTAACAAGTCTAACCCATTTGCTTAGCTTTAAGCAATTAAAACATTTTAATAGACTATTTCTGTTTTTTATATAGTTGAGGAAGTGATTGTGAACATGGATCTTATTGGTGACAAAGAACCAGCTGATGGAATTGGAGAGTTGTCTGTCTGTCTAGATGGTATGCAGGTGGATCCCGAGCTTCTGACTAATGGTGATGCCTCAAGCATAAGAAGTGAGTAATATTTTCCTATAGAGTATCTATGACACATAAACAAAGCCCTCAATACTCTGAGGTATTTCCTGTGAGAAAAGTTTGTTGAAACCATAGATACTCTTCCCTTATGCTTTCAATATCTTGCCAGAACAATTCTATTTTTAAATAGCATAATTTTAAATAAACTATATTTTATTGCAATGAACATGATGACTTAAAGTCTTAGTTACCAGACAATCTTAACCCTGCTTGGGATACTAAGGTGTTTTGGTTAGAGGCCCAGTCCTTTGGAATAGCCCCCCTCCCAAAAAATAATCTTGGACTTGCCTCTTCCTTTAATATCATTCCCAAAAGTAGGAAAGACAAAAACTGTTCCAGAGGCATTTGGAAGTTATTTGCCATCAATTATTTATTACTGCCGTGTTGTGGTTTCATGTTCCAGATTGGATCATGATGTCAAGATTTTAAAAATTAGATTTTATCATTTTAAACTATTTAAATTTATCAGGTATGTTTTTATTGTATAATTGCTGACAATACTGTTGGTGTTTTAATTGTTGACTTTTGTTAAGTCCCTGACAGATTTGGAGGCATACAAATGTAATAAATAATATTCAGAATTAGTAATGTCTAGAGTAACCAGAAAACCAGCCAGTTTCTGGACAAACAACCATTATGGGTTGATAGGGTTCGGTTTCAGATTCTTACAAGCCTCCACTCTGCCAGGCTTTCAAGATTCTGCTGTTAATCTTTATAAACAGAGTTCCAGTATTCCATTCAGTTTCTGTTTCCTGATGTGGTTGACCTCAGATGATTGACACTGAGATTCTAGTCTTAAATATAAATTCTTGTGTTCAGCCATCTGTAGAGCAGGAAGCCATGGTGTCGCAAAGGATCAGCAGCATCCCCCTTTCTAACTTTTGATTTGTGACCACTGAAGTATGAAAAAAATGGCCCAGATACTTTGTATATGTGTTAAGCTCCTTTTTAATAGCAGAAGAGTAGTGACAGTAATTCAGTTTGTTAGTTAATTACTTCTAGATATTTTTCTCAAACTGCTGTATACTGCATACATCCATCATATTTTGCTGGTATTGTAAAGCTCTGCCTGCTCTGTGGTCGGGAATCGGTCCTCATTGTTGTCAGCTCTTAGTGGATTTTATCTCACCAAAGTTTTCTTATCATAATCAATTTATTTTCCTTTGAATTTTTTTTTCTACCTTAAGCCTTTGATAATATTTCTAATAAAAAACCTACTTTTTACTTTTACTGGGAGACTGTTTTTCTTCTTGTGACCCTTTAGAAGTGTTGACCTATATCACCTTTTCAATTTGCATTGACCGTAGGCACATGAACTAGGAATTAAAAGAATGTAGTCCAAGATATCAAAAGGCAACGGGTTGGAGAAAAATGTATTAGACCTTATATAGCAGTTCATCATTCACAGAATTTTTTCTCAAAAATAATTTTTTGATTCTGTGTTAGAAACATCACATCATTTCTCATTATTTATTTGATATTTATTTAATCTCATCAAGTTTTATTTTTATGTATGAAGCCCAAAATAGCTAATCAAAAAATCCAGGCAAATAAGAGTTGTCTTTTTTAATAGCAGAAGAGTATTTAATAGCAAAGAGATAACATGGACAGGTGACATCCCTGTGGAGTTAATTTCAAAAATGTTGCTTCATCAAAAAAATACACTAACCATTGTTCCATTTTTTCCCCCATTTTAGAAATAACTTTCTAGACTGTGTTATCCATAGCCTTTAGTCTTCCTGCAAATGTCAGTTGTTTATTTTCAGGTATCATCAATATATATTTTAATCAAAAGCAAGCAATGGTATCTACAAACTCCCTGTCTTTTCTGATTTTAATTTATATAAAATTATAGAACTCTCTTTCCCTCTTCTTAGCTTCCTAAAAAGCTTGCCTGATTTGGGGGTTATGGTTAGGGTTCAGAACAACACCGAAGGGATAATGAGGGCTTAAGTGAAAGGAGCTATTGCTGAAAATTGCCAGCCTCCTCTGTTGCTCAGCTAAGAATGTTTCCTGGTTCTGGGTTCGTCTGTTTTGGTGGGACAACTATGGTCCCACTTTATCATATATTTAATGTCGATATTTAGGTGCATAAAATTGCCTGGTATAATTATGTAATGTTTATATCTTTTTAGTGTGATGAATGTTGTAAATTTGTATTGCCTTATGTTTAAGGTCCTGACCAAAATGATGGCTCCAAAGCAAAAAATGAAACAAGGTAAGGTGGTTTCAGTTGTATCTTACCATGAGTTCTAGATGATTGCTGGCCTAGCTATAATTGACTCAGCATAAATACATTTAAAATTTGTATTTAAATATGTATTTAAAGTCAATAGAGTAATTCAGAAAGACTAAACAGAGAGCAGATAAATATAAACTGATTCAATGACACATTTAATATCTGGTGAATTGTATCTATGTTCTAATGCCATAAAATCCTTTCTCATCTTTCAGCAATATGCTGTCAGAATTATTCATGTCACTCTGGCTATATGAAATCAAATACTACATACCATAATGATCTACACTGACTTCCTGCCTATTCGAGGATCCTATGCAGGCAGCTCATCCAAACATCTCCATGGTGTTGCCCCACCCAAGTGTTTTTGATCCCATTCCATTATTTCTTTTAACATCCATTGTAGTATCTCAGGCAAAATGAGATACATTTTCCAGACACTATCTTTTCCCTTTGATATCTCTTATGTCAAGAATTGAAACCTGCCCTTATTGAAATTTCACCTTTTTCATGAAGTTTTTACAACATACCTGCATATTTTTTACCTGTTTTGCTCTCCTTCCCCTTTTTCAAAGCAAAATGATAAGAGCTATTATCTTCATTGTGGGGACAATGGGCATTGTCAAAAGGGAACGTTGGAGGTCAGCATATAACTCTGCAATAACTTCAGTGATCCTTTACCCTGTTATATAGCACAGTATGTAGTATTTGATTTGGAAATTTAACTCCCCCTTTTTATCTAAATGCCAACTTCAAGTTTCAAGGATAAATTGTGTTTTTGTTTCTATTAAGGTGTGGCAGTGTTGACAGTTGTGAGACTGCTGTTTCCAGTGAAAACAAGGGGGCTAATACCAGTGACTCTCCATTAATTGCAAATGGTGGCTTCAAGCCTTCTAGGCCTCCCAGGCCCTCTCGACCACCTCCACCCACCCCGCGTAGGCCTTCAGCTCCAGTTGGTATGTGAATATCAATATGAGATAAGTTTTCAAATTCTCTTGAGTTCAGAGTTTATTTTATTTATGACTGTTGTCAGGAGTTCGTTCCTGATCGGTTCAAGATTGACTCAGCTTTCCATCCTTCTGAGGTTGGTAAAATGAAGACCCAGATTATTGGGGACAATATGCTGACATTTGTAAATTGCTCAGAGAAGCATCTAAAGCACTATGGAGCAGTATATAAATCTAAGTGCTATTGCTATTGTTTACCCTCTGCACTATTTAACTTTCTGACTTTCAGGAAAACATTCTCAAACTATATAAAGAAAAGTTTACAATGCTAAGACATGTTTGATTAAAGTTTGGAAGATTTCACCATATTTATATAATATTTTTTACATACTGAAATAAATAAATAAATAAATAAATAAATATATTTATTTATTTATTTATTTATTTATTTATTCATTCATTCATTCACTCACTCACTCACTCACTCACTCACTCACTCACTCACTCATTCACTCACTTATATGAACCCTCCCCAAATCTGGCTTTGAAAATTTATGTATTTATATATTGCCCCCTGCAAATGTGAATATTTTCATTAAAGACTACCAAATTTTTGTGATCAAGAGAACGAGAACTTTTATCCCGAATTGTTCATCTTAATTTTCTGAAACTACAGTTTCTCTGAAATGGAATTGTTTAACTGGGAGCTACTTTTTCAAAACAATTGATCCCCAATTTTTAATGTCATGTTATAAATGAATTTTGATATTTAAGTATTTTCTAAAAGGCTTTTTTACAAGACCATTCTTAATCAAAAAAGTCTAATAATGCTACTATTATCATGTACCATGTAGAAACCTACAGGCTTTCTCTGATGTATCAAAGTAAAAGTAATCATTGCCTTCTTTCCAATCTATATTCTCTGCAGCATGTGTCAATGGCCCTTCTTCCACAGAATCAGAAGCAGCTAATAAAGAAACTGTGCCAACCGCAAGCACTTCAGCAGCAGAACCAAGTTCTGATGGAGGAACTGCAGGGACAGCTCTTCCTGCAACATCTCCTGTAGCTACACCACCCATATGCAGACAAGTTCAGCCAGCAACTCCCATTTCACAGCCCCATCCTACAGTTAGCCAAGGTCCTCTTCCACCTGGGCAAGTGTTCACTGTTGTTCAATTCTGTATTACAAGTAGTTTTGTAGCTTAGCATCTTTTCCTCTGAAAGACAGCACTTTCTTGCATCTCTTTCATGCCTGAAATCACCCAAAATATGATTTGTATACTCAGAAATATAATTCTGCCACCTATAAACCAGTTTTTAAAGTTCTTTATGAAATCTCATATAATGACACAAATATCAAAATTCCTATAGCAATGAATGTTGAATGCAGCACCAAAACAAGATAGCTGATATAAGTCCAGCTAAGCAGGTACACTGGTGGAAAAATATGGTTTTAATTAAAATGATATTGTTTCTAACATATCATTAGAAATTATTGGGAAATATGAACTAGTGTGGCTCTTTTCCCAGTGGTGCAACCCTACTAGGTCATCATAAATTCTTGTTCTCAAGTTAATGTGATATAGTAAAGATAAAATTGTCTAGATCTAAATGGTCTGCTTATTATTAGAAGGATTGTAGTCTAACACTTGAATATATGCTGCAAAAATATGAATAAAATAGAATTCATTGGAATGACAAGCAGGTTTTGTTCTGCTTCTCCCAAAACTTAAAATGTGATGGGAAATGGGTACTGTCAAAGCACTAGATCATAGAGATAGTGATTCAGATCCTAATTGCCAAATTAAGATGGGTGGTTGATCCAAAATTCTTAGCCTACAATAGTTTACAGAATTACTATGAGGTTAAAATGAGAAATTCCATGTTTGCCACTCTAAATATTTGAATTAAAAAACAGACAGTTCAAACGTGATAAATATTTTTAATCCAGGAAATTCGTGAAATTGCAAATTGTTGAAGAATTTTGTTTATCAGGGATTGCACTATAGTAATAGCAGGTTTACAAATGTGAAATGAAAGTAAGCCTTTGGTTTGTATAATGTCTATATATGAAGAAAATGCACTTATTATATATTGCAGTTGTAGAGGGATTAAGAAGCCACTTTCAAATAAGCAACAAGATGAAGGTATTTGAATAAATTCACACGTGACAGTTTATTTTTTTCCAGGTGGGAACAAAGAGTGGATCAGCATGGCCGGGTGTATTATGTAGATCATGTAGAAAAAAGAACAACATGGGATAGGCCAGAGCCTCTTCCTCCAGGGTGAGCAATTCTCAATACATTAACTCATGGATTGTTTTTTGCTAGCTTGTTATTGCTTTGGGAGTTATATGTTTTAATAATTTTGAATGTTGTTGTTGTAGATCTAGAAATTTGGGACATTCCCAAGCAGTTGTAAAAGAACCTATAGGTATAAATTCAGCATTGTTAAGTTTGCTCTACTGCCCCTACGTTTTTTCTGGTTCAGTAGATAAGAAAGCAATCAAATCTCATTTTTCATATACTAACATATTTATTAAAAATATATGATACACTTGAATAATTTAAAAAGAAAAGCCTTATTTTTGCTATTAAAGACAAGGTAGACATGAATAAATAAAGTGTAGATGCTTTAATCAAAATGCTGGAATTGAGAAATAGAATGGCATAGGGATAGAATTAAAGATAATCTACCCTTTCCTCAATGTTTCAGTAAAATTGAGGAATTATTTTGCTTGGCCCATTTTATTTATTTGTGTGTAGATTTATATCCTGGCTTTCATTCAGGACCTCCAAGTGGCAAACATAAAGCTCCCTATTTTTGTGTGTGTGTGTGTGTGTGTGTGTGTGTGTGTGTGTCTTTTATACTGCATGCATTCTCCATTCTCTTTCTGTTTTTATCTGATTGCTATGTACTTTGTGATCTCTGCTGCTTTCATTTAAATATATCGCCCTTGTTTTTTAGTTGGGAGCGCCGAGTAGATAACATGGGACGGATTTATTATGTTGACCATTTCACCAGAACAACGACTTGGCAACGACCAACTCTGGAATCTGTCCGTAATTATGAGCAATGGCAACTTCAGCGTAGCCAGCTTCAAGGAGCTATGCAGCAATTTAACCAGAGGTTCATATATGGGGTGAGAACACTGAAGAATGAGTTGCAAATCAAATCTAACAGATACATTAGCACACCACCATCTAATGAAAATTAAGAATTGAGAGAACACTATATTAATTAATTTCTATTTAGAATCCATTAAGTTTCCAAAAACAAAGCAGTACAATAAAAATTTAAATGTAATTTGATTGATGTATATAGAAATTACTGTTTTTCCTTCTTACATAGTTTTGGAAAATTACTTCTGCTTACAATATTATTTTGAATAATTCTTTACTTCAGAGGATTATGGCTTAGATATTTCAGACTAAGTTTTATGTCTTTCTTAGAACAGTACAAATAATGTTTAGTCCAGTATAGAGATTATGATCATAATTCATTCAAGAAAGACATTCACATTGGCAATATTTCATTGGATTTGCAGAATTTCACCTGAACTCAGTCTTATTTTGTAAAGTTACCCCTTGAGTTTTGCACTTCATGTATTGTATTAATTTTGTTTATAAAGACACCTAAAGATGACTTGGTGAGTTTCTTATCTCCTGCTAGAAAATCTTAGCCAGTGTTGGGACCTTTTAACTCTTAATAAACATATAATCTAAACTTACTGTCTTGAAAGAGAAATCTTGCTTTAAAATGATATATGCATAGCACAGATTTTACATCAATTTAATTAATGGTTATTAAGATGTGCCTTCTTCTGATTATAGAATCAAGACTTCACACAGAATAAAGAATTTGATCCTCTTGGTCCCTTGCCACATGGATGGGGTAAGATATTTTTAAGTTCTAGTTTCTATTATCACTTATTTGGAATTTATTCTTACTCATTTCATTTAGTAATCACTGGGATATTTTTTTCTTATCTGACATTCATGACTCCAAAGTTTACATGCGGTAGCACTGAGATGCATAAGCCGTATAAAATATTGTTTTCATTTATGGAGTTAATGCATAATGTCAATTTGTTTTTACTACTTTACATGCAGAACTGCATAATTGTTTAAAATCTGGAATCGGGATTTGACCTTTATTAAGAGATAAACAGTGAGCAGGATGTATCCTGCTGAAGGGGCATTACTCAAAAAAAAAATGAGGCCTATTTTTTTTCTGAAAGTAAATTTACTCTTTGTTGCTCTTGCACTTGCACCTTATAAAGATGATTTAAGTTTGTAGATCAATTTAAATACTTCATCTACATAACTATTATAGAAGACCATATTTTCAGGTAAGATTAAGATTAAAACCAAGTGATTTCAAAGCTGCCAAAATGGATGGTGTGAAAATAAATGCTTTCTCAGTGATAATTTCCATATTTGCAATTCCTTACATCCTCTGAAAGGTTCCATTTGAGCAAGTTCATCTGTTCATTATTTCCCAATGTTCATCTCCTATTATGCATCCTAAGCTTTTCCTTTGAGGCCCTTAACACTGTTTTTTAGGGGAGGGGTATCCAAATTGTTGTAGTGCATAATAGCAATAGCAATAAGTCTTACATAAATTGGGTGAGATATTTTCCATGACCAAACAGACCCACATAAATATTACTTACATATGTCTTACATCAAAACTAACAACGTATTACTGTATTTTCTCTCAGAAAAGAGAACAGACAGCAACGGCAGAGTATATTTTGTCAATCATAATACTCGCATCACACAGTGGGAAGATCCCAGGAGTCAAGGGTAAGATCCAGCACTGTTCAACCATGTTCCAAAGTCTATGCACCTGTGCTCTAGTAATAACTCAAAAATGCATATGCACATTGAGTAGAGTTTTATGATATCACATTTGTCTCTTTGGACCCTCAGTGAAAATCTTACTAAGTTTAAATATTAACATTCGGTTAAGATGCAGTATAATTACATGTGACATACCGAATACTTGCAGCATCAGTGTTTGAAATATGAGCTCAAAGAATGGTGATTATTTCTCATGTCCATTTTGTTGAATATTTAAATGATTAAAAATGAAAAACAACATGAAAGTTAAGGTGTAACAAATGTCCACTACCTTATAAAATATTCAGATGTCATGGCATATTTTTAGTTTAAAAGACCTTTATAAGAAAGAACAGAATGGCAAAGACATACCAGCTGTAAGGAAAATAGTGTTATTTGTTCTCTTTGATAATCTAGTAGATAAGGAAACATTGACATCTGATCACTGAGCAGGAATAGCAGCATTTTTAATATTCTCTTACTAAATGTCTCTGGTTTTTTTCCTTCTAATGGCGCAATCCCTTTGAGTACCAGATAAATAGTAGTGGACAATTAAAGTTCTGCTCAAATAATTGCTAGTTTGGATTTAAGATGCAGATATGATTTGCATAGTCTATCAGTTTTGTAACATGCAGTTCATATCTTTTGTATCTGTTTTTATAGTCAATTAAATGAAAAACCTTTACCAGAGGGCTGGGAAATGAGATTCACTGTGGATGGAATTCCATATTTTGTGGATCACAACAGAAGAACAACAACATATATCGATCCTCGTACTGGAAAGTCTGCTTTGTATGTTTTTTTCCTCCTAAAATATCAATAGTGTTTAGGTAGCCTGTAAAAAGGGACAGGGTTTTACACAACACTGGTTGGGTCATCTTTCATATTAACTAAATTACATTGCTACTTTCTGATAAAATATTATTTGATAACACTGGTTAATATACCAGTCTGAATATTGAACTTTTTCTCTTCTATATACCCTTTATTTTCAAGGCAGGTCGGGTTTATTTTTGCTTTCAGGCAGTTTCTAAACAAAACAAAATGCATAAAGGGAATTATTTTTCAGTATTTAATGTGAACACTGTTTAATGTAATGTAAATGCTACACTGCTAAGTCCATTTGAAACTGAAAGTGGGGTGACACTGAACATTAGAGATATCAGCAAATAGATTTTTCTGTCCTTTCACTTTATAATTTGGAATTGTTCGCTTTGTTTTCAGTAAAATTAGAATGAAAAGAAAATTTACCTTTCTTCATCACTTTCTTTCCCTCCACTTTTTCCGATCTTTCCATTTAATTTGCACTAGCTGGGTTGTATGTTAGGAATTAGAGAAAAGGAATGGATGAAGTAGACCAGGGTTTCTCAGTCTTGGCAACTTGTAGATGTGTGGGCTTCAACTCCCAGAATTCTGAGTGATGAAATCCATCCACTGAAATAGACTATCCTTCTCTTTGTTCTGGTTCTGATGCCAGGATGGAAGTCCATCTTTTCTGGGATAAACTGCAATTCCCAAGGATCATCAGCAGTTTTTTTTAAGGTACTATCAGGGAGGAAACCAGATGCCCCTTGACTTCTTTTACAGTTGGGGCAGTAATAAGTCACTCCAAGGTGGACTAAAAAAATCCTTCTATTTCTAAAAAGAAAGTTTATATTTAACACAAGATAGGAAATTGCTGTTTTAAGTAATGATTTTTATGGAGAAATACTTTATTGTGAGGAGGGATTTTTATTTTATTTATTATTTATTATTATTTATTTATTATTTATTTATCAATCACTCAGTCAAATTTATTTGGTGCCTATCTTGCCGTTCAAACTACTCTGAGCAGCTTACATTCAGATAAAACAAACATTCAAAGATTATAAATATATAAATGGATTAAAATTACAAAAATTAAAACAAGCTAAAAAGGGTTTAAGGGGCAGAGATGTTCTCTGTTAGCATACCAACCACCTCTAGCCAGCTTCTCTTTCAGGAAAGAGGTTTTAAGGCTTTTTCTGAAGTCTAAAAGAGAAGCAGCAGACCTTATTTCCTGAGGCAAGATGTTCCAAAGGATAGGAGCCGTAGCAGAAAAGGCTCTTCTGGATCCCACCAAGCCAAAATTCCTTGGCTGATGGGATCCGCAGTAGGCCGTTTCTGCCAGCACCAGTGGGGTGGGCCAATTCCATTGGGGAAAGATGGTATGCATTCTGATAGCATATTTTTCTGTTCAATATTATTCAGTTATTTAGGTAAAATCCTTAACTGAATATACGTTTGTGCTTAATCAGTGTCACCTTGATTTTTGCTTCCAGAGACAACGGACCTCAAATAGCCTATGTTCGTGATTTCAAAGCAAAGGTCCAATATTTCCGATTTTGGTGTCAGGTGAGAGATACCTCCCTTTAGAAATGTAATCATGAAACTCTTGCTATCATCTGCAAAACATTTAACCTTGCCTGAAATCATGCAATGCCATATTGTGATTTGTGTAGGTTAGCACTGGCAGTATCTTTGTTTATAAGGCATGGTTTAGTATTAGTATTCAAAATCATGATAAATCAAATCAGAGCTTATAATTGCCTCTATATGTTCAGAGTAAGAAATATTTATATAATGCTTTCTGATATTATACATCAGGTCCTGCAACTAGGTTTCTATGTCCTGGATTTTCTGAGGCTGATGTGTATTAAACAGCTCCAGAAACATAAGGGTTGAAGAGGAAAAAAGAACAATTGGGTTCCTCTCACTCTGCAGCAATTTTTCTTTTGTCTTGATCTGTAATGCCATGCAGACCCGAAACAAACGAGCCACTTTTTCCTGCCTCACAACATTTGTTGGTGACTCATTAAAGCAGCCTGTTGGTCACTATTAAAACAGCCTAGTTTTTTTCTGGCTTTGTACAGTTGCTATGAAGAGGCATCCATATTTTGGAATGAAATTTGAAATATTCACAGTGCTAATTATTACTGAATTTATGAATACTGTAAACACCAATGTGATTAACATATTTAATTATAAGAATATGTTAATGGAGAAATTACAGAATTGGCATGTCACCTTTTTCCAAAAGTTTACACAGTAATACTTTGTATTCAGATTTCTTGACCATGAAGTTAGCAATGTTTCTTTCTAGTGAGTTCACCATTTGTCCTTTGCATTATGGATTTGCCTTGTTGGAGGGTAACCTTCATGAATGAAGAATACATTTCTTCCGTGACTCTGTAGACCAACTTGTCACATCTTTCCCTGCACGTATGAATTATAATTTTGTTTACAATTAAGATTTTCTTGATTATCAACTTTTTAAATTTTCATATAATATATCCGACATTGCCTGTATCTGTATTTTATCACATGCACTATGTGAGCATAAAATAAATGCTAGAAGCTTTCTTATTTTGTAACAAGAAAATTGCTGGGTATGAGCATAAAGTGCCTCTTATTCAGGATAAGTAATTAATTTGTTCACAGTTCCTGCTGAGAGTGCAATATGTTTGTAATTATGATTATCTAATATGTTTGTTTTTCAAATGTATTTCTTACATTTCAGCAATTGTCTATGCCCCAGCATATAAAAATAACAGTGAGCAGGAAAACACTGTTTGAAGATTCATTTCAGCAGGTAAATGAGCAGAAATTTTTGAAACTAAGAAATTTTTTTTTCTAAAAAAAAATAATTAAAATTATTTGATCAGCATTTTTTCCTAATTTCAACTTGTGTCTCTGCCTTAATGTGCTTTAATCTGAATAGCTATGTGAATAACTATTAACATTCTAAGTAACATTTGATTTTTTCCCCCTGTGAAGATAATGAGTCTTAGTGCCGTGGACCTACGAAGACGCTTGTGGGTCATTTTCCCAGGAGAAGAAGGCTTAGATTATGGAGGTGTTGCACGGTAGGTATGACTTAATTCATAAAACTCATAAAACTGTAAAATTTTGCTATAGAAAGTTGCTTAAGAAATTTGAGGTTTTTCTTTTTTCATTATTGCCCCATTATGTTAAAAGGCTTTTTAAAATGCCCTCTGTAAAATATATACTATATAATATAAGTAAAGTATATACTGTGAGGTTCAAATTTAGTTATATTTTCTGTAAACTCACAAAAAACAGAGATTTAGAATTATAATCACTAAATCTTCACTTTTGAATTCTGTGCTAAAATATGATGATCTTTGGATCCAATTCAGCATTTGATCTTTTAGAAATTTGAGAACAGTTGGAATTGTTGCTAATTTAAGAAGCTACTAGCATGCAGAAATTTATTTCAGTGCAGTATTAATCCATAGTTCCATTTGTACAGCACATTCAGTCATCCTTGCCTACTCTTCAGATCATCAAATATTTCTTGTAAAGAGACTTCTAGAGAGGCTCTGGAGGATGGAGACAGCAAAAAATGTCACTTCCTGTCCAACCGGAAGTTGGGAAATGGGCCATTTCTGGCCTTCGGGGGGGGGGAGGCCATTTTTGCCCTCCCTAGATTCATAGAGAGGCTCTGGAGCCAGGGAGAGAGAAAAATGGGCCTTCCCCAACCCCCCCCCCCCAGTCCCTCCAGAGACAGGAAACAGCCTGTTTCCCTACTTCTGGTGGGCCCAGAAGGCCCGAAAATCAGCTCGCGTGCGCACGTGTAGCCATAGGTTTGCCATCATGGCTCTAGGCTGATTTCTCTTTTGACTCCTCCCCTAGGTTCTGCTGTTCCTTCTCTTACAAATTTCATCCAAAAGATGAACATTGTAAATTACTTGTTATTGATGCCTGAATTGCATTTAGATATCACTGAATAACTCTAAAGTTTCTTTGTTATGAACTTGTCTAGCAGATGCGAGATTTGTTGAAACTCATAGCATAGATGCAAAAATAAAGGCATATGCAAGCTTGTTAGTGTTTTTAGGTATTAACACCAAAGAAATGTATACACAACTGTCTAAATTTTATGTTTGTTGTGTGTGTGCATGTGGTTTTTTTTTGTGGTGTTGACTGTGAGTTCTTTATGTGGTTTCAGGGAATGGTTCTTTCTATTGTCGCATGAAGTGCTGAATCCAATGTATTGCCTGTTTGAATATGCAGGGAAGGATAACTACTGCCTACAGATAAACCCAGCTTCTTACATCAATCCAGATCATCTGAAATACTTCCGCTTTATTGGTAGATTTATTGCTATGGTGAGTTCAGTGCATGAAATAATACTCATAACACGTTTAAGATATTATAAAAACCATATAGCAAAACTGATAATGGTTAATTCTAGAAGATGAGACTCTCTTTCCATTTTCTTATTTTTAAAATAGGCCACAGACCTTATGTAAATATGTAATTGGATACAGGAAAACCAAATTGATAACCTTGACAGCAATGATCTTTCTTGTGTTCCATTCAGTGTTTTATATTTGAAAGCTTAATATATTTAAAAGCCTGCTTTTAACTTTGCTATTCCTTTTAATACCTGGTAATACCTTGCTATTCCTTTTAATACCTTTTAATACCTTGATAAAAAAATCTATCGCATACCTTGGATAACAGTGCTATTAGAATAATCAATTTTTTCTGAATTTACTCTGAAATGTTCTAAAAAAAACCTTGAGATTATTATAGGCTGTCATATGCTTTGTTAAAATAGGCTATATGTTTTTGTTGCATCTACATGAAATTGTAGAGATGTTTTCAGTACTTAAATCTAAATTATATTGACTTGCATGTTCTAATAACTGACAAAAGTTAAATTATTCAGCATTGTTCACTGGGTTAAATAACCATGGGCTGATTATAGAACAGATCACAAACTACCGTACCTATGTACAAGTTCCAAATCACGTTACAGCAGAAGAACAAAGTCAACCAGTTTCCACAATATGACCTTGTGCTTTTAGCCTTCATTTTCATACAGACTCTCTCTGACATCTTTAAAATCATTGATTGGAAAACAGAGGAATTATTCAGTGAGATAATTGTTAAGGTGAACATGAAAAAAATTGCCAATGAGGAGGGAAAAACAAAAGAAAAAATTGAGACAATAATTGTAGCATATATTCCATTGTGAGGATTCTAACCTGGCTCAAGGTTGACTCAGCCTTCCATCCTTCTGAGGTGGGTAAAATGAGGACCCAGATTGTTGGGGGCAATATGCTGACTCTGTAAACAGTTTAGAGAGGGCTGTAAAGCACTGTGAAGCAGTATATAAATCTAAGTGGTATTACTATTGCTATTCCTTTCATGAAATTTTCTTTCAAAAGATTAAGAGTAGCATAGGCTTCAAAACAGATATGCTAATGTAAGATAAGTAATACTTTCTATCCTTTTCAGGCATTGTTCCATGGAAAATTTATAGACACAGGTTTCTCCCAACCTTTCTACAAACGTATCCTTAATAAACCAGTTGGATTAAAAGACTTGGAATCTGTAGATCCTGAGTTCTATAATTCCCTGATCTGGGTTAAGTGAGTTTCTTATTTCCACTTTTTGAATATTAACTTTATGCAAATAAATGTCTACATATTTAACCAAATTAGTAAATATTTAACACTTACCAAAAACTTGTTCTGCTATTCACATTTGAATGTATATTTTAATAGAAATATTTAATTCGTTTATTCAATTTATGTAGCCACCCATCTCATGTGTGACTCTAGGTGGCTCACTAGCTACATACCTCCATAGGATTCCCAGGCCTGATAATAGAACCGTGTCTTTGGGATCCTCCGAAAGGCCAATAATATTTCATGAAGTTCAGATATTTAGACTGATACTTCTAATTTTGATAGCCTGTAGATTTTAAATCAGGCGATAAGTTGTGATAAAACAGGATACGCCACTCTGTGCCAAATAAACCCTCAACATTCTTTGGTGGGAAGGGGGGCTCTATGCCAACATCAAAATGTATAATTGATTTTCATTGGCATGTTGTTTCATATTTTGAAAGATGTAGGGGTTAGATGCATTGACTCTCCATTGGGCTCAACACAACTAGTTTGTATTTTTTTAAACTTAATATCGTCAAAATGTTGACTACATTAATTGTTGTGCATTGTGCCAGTCTCATTTCACTGGTAATCTTCAGCGAATAATATAAAAAGGAAGCATGACTCACAGCTTCAGAAAAAGATTGCTGAATTTAAAGCTATGAATTATAGTCCTAAGCATGATATGTTTATTGTCAGAGTATCCATTGTAAAAAAATATTTTAGTAATTAATCACACCACATGGTATTGATTTTGTAGGGAAAACAATATTGAAGAATGCGGCCTAGAAATGTATTTCTCAGTTGATAAAGAAATTCTAGGTGAAATAAAGAGCCATGACTTGAAACCCAATGGTAGCAACGTCCTTGTTACTGAAGAAAACAAAGAAGAATATATTAAGTAAGTTCAAAATTATTTTTAAGTATTTTTAACCATAATTTTTATTGGATTCAAGTTGCTATTCTCTGATTAAGTCTCTTCATTTATGCATACAACTTGGACAGAGTAGAAGTACTGCTGGAGGGGACGATATTTTTTTCATCAATTTCATTTTTCTCTTTCATGCTATTCTGCAGAGTTGCTATGGGGAACGTCTGTCTTTAAACTACAACTTCCATCAACCATTACTATTGGCCATGCTATCTGGGATTGTGGAACTGTAATTGACTATTTCTAGAGCACCACAAGTTTCCAACTCTTGTTTCACAGCCCTGATCAGCTAATATATGAGAGAAAATGAGACACATTCCCTGCATTTTTGGATTACATTTCAGTATGTGTCCAAGGGCCACGTATGTAATACAGTTTGCCCATGTGTGCCTTAATCTTTTCCATAATCCCAGAAAAAATTCCTTGTCCAAATTGCAGTTCACTAGAACTGTATACAGTAATTGAATATTACAGACTATCTGTCCTGGTTGAAGCGCACAAGGCTGGAAGTTAATAATGTTCTTTTGCCATGGTGGTAACACTTCAGCTACATGTTCTGCAAGATTCTATATTCCTTTGTTCTTGTGTGCTATCTTTTCAAACTGTGAATGACTTCAAATTCCTACAATTGTTCATCATTTAATTAATATTATAATTCATCTGAATCAAGGTGCATTGGCTGTTGTCACATGAGTGTACATTTTCTTTTCAAGGCTGGTAGCAGAATGGAGGCTTTCCCGGGGTGTAGAAGAGCAGACGCAAGCTTTCTTTGAAGGATTCAATGAGATTCTATCACAGCAGTACTTACAGTACTTTGATGCCAAAGAGCTGGAGGTAGACCTGTAAACCTGCAATTTAGACAAAAACCGGGACTGATAACTTGAGGGACGGTTTATTTATTTATTAAATTTATATGCCACCCATCTCACTATCCAAAGTGACTCTGGACAGTTACTGTTAAAGGCTACTGTACCTTAATCTCTGCGCTACCAAATTTTAGCAAAAGTTTTAGTTTCCCATGTTACTGCTGGAATGGGGAGAGTTTTGGATCACTATTGCAATTAGTAACATGTCAATTTTAACCAGGCAAGCTGCAGATTAATTTTAGGACACTTCCACACTGCCATCCCTTTTACTCTCCCATCTGTCAAAAGCAGTTGGAAGCTAATCCAGCATCCTTGAAAAGGATACAATCTCCCCTGTTTACCAGCTATACAGTGTAAAAATAGCCTTCAAAAGTTTCTTCTGATTTCCTCCTCACATCCATTGTTTCATTTTGTATTGTATGGCTGGCTGCCTGGTACTTTCCTAAATAAATAGAGTGTCTGAAAAGCCATTAAGGTAGAAGGTGTTTTGGGGTTTTTTGCATGTTTGCAATTTAAGTACTGTAATAGCAAATTGGATAGACCTTTATTAGCTGACAGTTAGAGGGAAAAGGAAAAGACTGAGTTAAACTGAGACAGGGCAATGCAGAAATCGTCATCATTGAGAAATTTGCCTTGCGTCTAAGTCTAAGCTATCCGGACCTTCCCCATTTTAAGTTACGATTAATATTAAAAGTCACTTGGAATGAACTGCAGCAGAGCTGGAAATAAATTGTATAAGATTTGATAAACAGCACAAAACCCTTCGTTTTGCAGCCTTTTTTTGTTTGCGAAGAGTTGTATTCAGTACTTCACCATGGCTTCCCTTGCATTGCAAATCATGGCAAATAAATACTGTATATTAATCAGGCCTTCACTTGTGTTGTTTCTCCAACCTCTTCCCCCCCCCCCCCCCCCAGGTGCTTTTATGTGGAATGCAAGAAATTGACCTGACTGATTGGCAAAGACATACAATCTACCGGCATTATACCAGGACAAGCAAACAAATAGTGTGGTTTTGGCAGGTTTGTAACACTTAAATAACATTATTTATCTGTCTGTCTGTCTGTCTGTCTATCTATCTATCATCTAACTCAGGGCTGTCAAACTCCCGGCCCACAGGCTGGCTGCCTCACACGCTGGCCACACCCAGTTTAGCGAAGGGGGGGAAGTCCTGATATATCACATGACTCTGCCATGACGATGTTTGACGCCCCTGAGCTAACTACATCCATCCATCCATCCATCCATCCATCCATCCATCTATCTATCTATCATCTCTATCCTGCTTTATTATTTTTGTAAATCACTCATGGTGGTAGATATTCCTAATACTTCCTCCTCTTCCTATTTTCCCAATAACCCTATGAGGTGTTCATTCCTAAGGCGGGACTAGAACTCAGTTTTTCACGTGGTAATTTTACTGATGATTAAACTGAGGAAGTAAAATCCACTTCAAATGTTTAAATAATATTCCTCTTAAGTTAAATTAATTGTCTTCACTATTTCCAGATATGAAGCCAAGTTTGTCTTTTGAAACAAGAATACTTTTTAATATTCTTTTATTATGTCATAAATTTAAGATTATATTTGTTGTCTGAACATCAGGTAATGTATTTATTCAGGCAAATATTTCAGTAAATTGTCTTGGGGTCTAATAATTTTGCTGTTTCTTTTCATAATGTTCCATTACAAACAAGCTAAAATACCAAGGTGAAAATTTATTGTGTACATTTTATCTCTTTTTGAATGTGCATTAGTTGTTAATAGTTGACAGATGCATCATTTTTATCTAACTAAAAATACAGTATTTTCTTTTTCTAAAAAATTGGATTTTTATACATTTTTGCATCAGTCTTGATTTCTGACAATTACATACATAAGTCCTTGCAGTATTTTTGAGAAGTGGTTTACCACTGCTGCCTTCTTAACGCTAAGTGAGAATGACTGGCCCAAAGTCACCCAGCTGGCTTCATTCCTAGGGCAGAACTAGAACTCACAGACTCCTAGTTTTTAGCCCAGTGCCTTTAAGTGCTACTCCTAATTGGGTCTCAAATTTTAGACCATAATGAAATTATATAAATATTTAATATTTCCATGTAAACATTTCAGCTTGTAAAAAGGCTGCAAATGTATTAAAAATAATTATTGATTTAAGAGTTATTTTGATATATTCAGCTATGGCTGTGAACACTTTGTGAATTGGCAGCAGATACCGCAAATTGTTTTAAATGATCTATTTTATTTCAGTTTGTAAAAGAAATAGATAATGAGAAGAGAATGAGATTACTACAGTTTGTTACTGGAACATGCCGATTGCCAGTTGGAGGATTTTCTGACCTCATGGGTAAGCACAATTATGTGAGCTGGATTAGCATGGTTTGATATTGTTTGGGCATAAACTCAAGTCATTGGGCAATTATACATGAATTTGGAAAGGTTAACATCTGTTTACCAGCCTTTTCCTTTTCACAGATAATAGCTTAACTAATTATCTTTGACAAGAAATGAGTTTCCAAATATAACCAATTTTAAAGTAGGATACATTGCACATGGATAATAGAGGTGTGAATGAAGTGAAAAATGTTTTGCTTCAATTCAAATATTGCATACTGAAAATTCTGTTTCATATTGGCCACAAGAAGGATAAAATAAAATCCAAAATGATTCTGGGTTCAGATAAACCAAACCCTGAAACAATTGTGGATATTCTGACTATATAAAACAGTGGGATTCAGCCTTGGAACAATCTTCTTTGCAGCTATCCAGATGACTATTAAATTAGAGCAATATGTTTTCTGTATTTATTGGCCACTTTAAACAGTAGCTAACATGCTGTCTTGTCAGTGGGAACTTCCCTCCATGGTCATTTTGGCTTGGGCCGTAGATGAGACTGGACAGCTGCCTGCCACAGCAACAACTGCTTGTATTATCAACCAGGCTATTTTTATACACAAATTTAGCCCTGTTTCAGAAGAGTGCTAGATCTGTTTTGAGAAATAGCCTGACTGATTACAAGGCTGGTGCATTTGAGTATCTGTAGTCTGTCAGTTGGGCAAATTATCAATCCCACATTAAGGAAGCTACACACATTAATTCATACATATGAAGTTCAGCTTCCCCACACAAATCTTTACAAAACCACCCATCTGGCCCAGACAGAAATTGGATACTCCATTCGCAAAAAGCAACCTCCAGCTAAAATAGAACACGAAGTATTTTTTAATATATATATAAACCACATTCTGGATTCTGTCCAGGGCAAAACATCTAAAATGCATATCATTCTATGCAAAGAATGGGTTATGGCAAGAATATTGTGCACATCTTCAAAAGGTAGGTTTCATAATATTGTTGAACAATGGCATATCTTACTTTAATGGGGAAAGTATTTTTATCTTACTTGAGCTTCTTAAGGATTGATTCTAAGGATGGTTATTTTTACGCCTTGATAATTCTGGCAGCTTATCATAGATAATTTCTGTCTCTTCCTCTTGTGTTATTGCAAAAGAAAGGTTGGGATTTCTCTAGAACATAATGCTGAGTATTGTAGAAGAAATAGGAATAGTAAAAAATAGATACACTGCCTTATTCTGTATCTTTGCATCATTTCACTCCCTGTTGGCAGTAAAATAACTCTGAATCAAATCCCATTTCTTCAGCATTTTGAAGAAACATACTTCCTTCAAGTACATACCTCTGCACTATTATAGGTATGGTCATTTATGGTGCAGAATGAATCACTTTAGAAATGTTAGAAGATTCTGCTGATCTATTGTGGCTGTGCAGTGCTTCTAAAAATCCAGAAACATGAATGCAACATCTGTCTGTGGCTTATTAAAGCATCCAAAATTGTTTCTGAATCCCAACTGTTGCACATTTTATGGCCCATATTATTTTATAATTAAACTGACTTTTATCATAACTAATGATAAACTATTTCCTTATGCAACTCAAAATAATATTTGGTTAGCTAGCCTAATGATATATTTTTCCACCTCAGTTAGACTTCAGAAGAAGGTATGTTCTACCTTTGTTCTTTACAAACAAACTTCTGCAAAGTCTTTGTATGAGAGATCTGGTACTCTCATGCAGGCACAGTATGCAAAGTTACAATTAAGCGAACTCCATATGTGAAGGACGTGGCCTTGGTATGAAAAAGCCAAAAGGGACTTTAAGAAGTTATTTCATAGTCCAAACACGGAGGAAAAACATGAGAAAGAAACTTAGAATAAGTCACTTTGATTAGGAGGGAGAAAACTTTAAAAAAACTCAAGTTCATCTTGTGGGGAGGGGCTGATGTTCAAAAAAAATGGCACTATCACAAAGAAGGCCTGCCTGTGATCCCCAATGTTTCTACTTCTTGAGGACCTTGAACAGGCATTCACTTGATGATCTGATAAAAATGAGCAAAAACATTTTGGAGAAACAGTCCCTAAATTCAAGTTTGAAGATACACTTCAGTGGTAGGCTTGACTACCAATAGTCTGCCTGTTGCATTCTTACCAGTTGCAGCTTCTGAGTCATCTTTAGATAATGTGTGTTACAGTAGTTGAACTGCATGCTGGTAGATATGGGTCACCATCACCAAGACTCCTTGGTTTTGTGGAACCGGAAATGAATTTCAGGTGCTATGCAAGTCAACACAGATGGAAGAACTTTACATGGCGTTGTTTTTAATACATTGTCCCTGATGGCACTGCTATTTATCAGAAATTAATATGACTACAACTTACCGTAATAGTGACACAAACACAAAAGATCTTACTACTTACTTCTTAACAAAAATATCTGCTCCTCAGCAGGTTTGATTTTCACTGTATTTACTTAATACAACTTAATTTATCTCATACCTTAATTTTTTAAAATATATATATATATATATTTTAGGGAGTAATGGACCTCAAAAATTCTGCATTGAAAAAGTTGGTAAAGAAAACTGGTTGCCTAGAAGCCATACATGGTAAGTAATAAGATGATTCAGGTTATTGTTCATTCTGTAACAATTAGGGCTACTTTTATATTTTTTGTAAATAAATAGCTAAAATGTTTTAAAATCATACAGAAAGTTGAATGCCATTGTGGTACTGGCCCACAATATAATTTTTTCTTTTAGAAATAGGGATGTAAAAGTTGTTAGATAATTACACTAAGACTTCCCCTCTCGTCTACTCAGAAGCAGATCTGTTTTACATAGCATATCATGGTATCATTCAAATCTCAAATATTCAGTAAAAGTTAATTATATTATAGGTAGTTCATATGGTACATAGTTAAGAAATAGACTGAAGTGAATTAATGCACAATGTAGACATCTGAAAATGCATATTATTCTCCAGAGTGTGTTGCTGTAACTCAACATCAAGGCAGAGAAAATCATTTGTAGAGTTGGATGCTTTTATTTTTCTTCTGCATCATTTTGTTCAAAAGTTCAGTGTTATTATGCTTGCTGCTTCTTTTCAGTTTCAATCGCTTGGATTTGCCACCATACAAGAGTTATGAACAGCTAAAGGAAAAGTTATTATTTGCAATTGAAGAAACGGAAGGATTTGGACAAGAGTAACTTTTTGTGGAATTTGGATCAGAAGAACATAAATTCATATAGGGTGTGAGTTCTTCACTGCCTCTGCTAGTTGCACTTCTTACTGTAAACAGGACTTGATCTTCATTTATTTAAACAAATGTTAGTATGTAAGTAAATGAATGTTGCTCTGTCATTTTATCCTTCTATTTTTAGATTTCTTCCAAGTCCGTTACAGAAATCCAAAATGATAAACTATAAATGAAATCTTCCTTGACCAGAGGTTGTTATACTTCTGGAGCTATGTCTTGCATCATGTTCATTAACTGGAGTGCATTTTCTTTTCTCTTTTTTCTTTTTTCTCTTTTCTTTCCTTTCTTCTCTTTTCTTTTTCTAAAATAACTCCTTTCTCTTCCTGTTTTAGTAGCAAAGTATTGCTGCTGAAGAACTGGGAAGTCCACTCGTAGCTGTAGCATTGCAGCAGGCTTTTTCTAACAGCACTTGCTTGCATTCAGACTCTGGGGGTGCTAAACGCATTTCCATGGCTTGCATTATGTGTTCTTTACCCACTTGAGGCTTGACTGTTTCCACTCTCCCAAAACATATCCCAAAGCCATCTCTGTTCAAACAGAGTAAAGGGATATGTAGACCTTAATGCACGTATCCATAGCATAGCACTTTTATTTATTTTTACCACTATGATCTCATTCCTCAGGTTATTCCTCCATCTGAAGGTGCCTCTTCAAATTTGCAGGAATTTTAACCCATTTTCAGCTAAGTGTGTACTTAGTTTTGATGATGGTACTTTAATAGTAAATTTGAAAGATAATTCTTTCAGGTGGAAACAACTGGAAATTATTTCCAGTCCTCTTTGTAGCTTGAGTTTAAAACTATACAAATGGCCATTAACTGTCAATTCTAGATCATCTCTAGATGCGGGAGCATTGCTTCCTATTTCCCAGTAGTGGTCTAACCATTGCAACAAAACTGCCTCATGAATATATCTGAACATGCAATCCTATGCATGTGTATTTGTAACTAAATCTTATTGAACAGAGTGAAACTTACTTCTGAATAAACAGGCATAGAATTCTGTTGGTAAGAAACTGAGGCACAAAAATTACATTCCTGCATACTTCCGATACTATTTTAAATAATTCATTAACTTTTTTTAGAGGGTGGAAAGTATGTGTTGTTATGATTTAGACTGTTGATCAGCTCTTATTAACAACTTAGACAGCACTTGGTTTTAAATCTAATTTCAATTTCAATTATTATATTTTTATAATGTCCATTAAAGCTGACAATAGTAGTTAAACTATACTCCCAAGTTTTTAACAAAAGCACTTAGTTCTTTTGCCCAGTTTTGCTACCTTGCATCTTTTCCTCCAAGTTGTTAAAATTCTGTGTTCTGCATGCTGCTCCGGAACTCAGTAGAAGAGGTGGTGACATTTTCAGAAATCAGTAATGCATGTTGATAGTTACATACTTGTATTGTCCTACTGCGTGAGAAGAGCAGAATCCTTTGAGAACTAGCTAGCATAGTCAAAGATCAAACCAATTGGCCAGTAAGACAAGTGTTACATATCTACCCATCCAGACTCTAAGAATGAATTAATTCAGGGCTATTGAACGCTTATGGGCTTAACCATTTTTATAACTGACTTTTTTTAGAATTCTCCTTTGAAACAATATAAATAGCCCATTGTTCTTCCATTTTTGTTTCTGAGAATTATGAAAATAATGTAATTTTCCTCCCCTTCAGTGTACATTTAAAGGAATGTACACAGAATTTTTTCTTACACAAATGATCTACTTCTTGGATGGAGAAGGTCATATATTGATTCTGGAGAGAGATCTGTCTGTGGCACTTACCAGAATATCTGAAGTATATATTAAAAATCTAGATTTTGGAGGAGAAAAAGCCTTAGAATTCTCTGCTTATTTGTTTTAATAACATTTAATTATTGAACATTTACAATTCAGAAATAAAATTGAGGTAACAAATAAGTATGGAATATAGTTGATGCTCTACACAATGTTACATTATTCATCTAGTGACCTAGAAATATTGTTAATGTATAAATATACAAAAGGCTTTCTGCCCTATATTTTTAAAATAAAGAATAGCTCTAATTAAAATAGCTGAGGCCCTAGTTCTATAGGGCATGGCTATTTAATATTTTTATGGCTCAGATGATTAGTTCAGGAAAAAGCAAATGCTTGTATATATTTTTGCAGTCTGGAAAAGTGTAGCTTATCAAACTTTTAATTTAAATAGCTTTTTGTTTGTCTTTACTGCTGCATTACAGGGGAAGTGGGGGCTGGATATCCCAAGCACAAAAAAAGTATTTTAAACAGTCAAACCAAGAATATTTAACAAACGGAGTCTTGACCATGAAGTATTTGTTAAAACATTTATTGTAAGCATTGTGTTAGCAATATTTCTAAAATCAGAATGAAAAGTCAGTTTTAAGGTCCCTTTGCATTGTAATTTCTAAATTTTGTTCTTATGCCTTGTTATGTTGCAATAATAAAAGTCATTTGAGCAATTTATATCTCTTTTCATTGTGGGAACCTGAAGGCATGTGGAAGTTTGGTACCGTTGCTGGGTGGAATGGCTTGAACTGTTGCAATATTTTTTTCTGCAAAGAGTAGGATTTGTTCATCATAAATTCAAAAGTATATGTGGACAGCAGTAAACAGTTCTTCCACATGAATACCAGAACATAGCAATATCTCCAGAAACATTAGTTGTAAAAATTAATTTCTATTATATATATTTCAGTCTGAATATTCTTTAGGCCTTTATGAAAGGTCATGACAGGATACATGAAATGTATATTTCCAATTTTTACTGGGTGAAATTTCAGCAATTATGTTCATTGTGATGTTTACCAGATCACATTAACACATTCTCCACCAGAATTCAAACTGAAGTTGAAGATTAAATTTAATCCATTTAGTATCTTCAGCTCTTATTGTGAGAGGAAACTGTCGCACATTTCTTTCCCAGAATCACAAGAGAGATCAGAAGCACTGGATTGTAAAAAGCCTATTGTTAAATTGTTGTCAAAGTATACATTCAGATACTCAGGTAATTGTAACAATGAAAATTGCTCAAGAAGTTAAACTTCTATAAAGGTTTTAAAAAGTTTATGGTCACATTTCTTGCATGTTGTGACTTTCTCCCGAAAATTTCTCTACTGTTCAAAAAGCGACAAATGAGTACATTCAGGAGAGTGCTGGAAACCAAATACTAAAAGGAGTGGTTAAAGGATCTGTGCATATTCAGTATATGTAAAAGATGAGTGACAGGAGACATGAAGCTGTGAGTTCTTCACCAGAGATCTTCAAGAAAATATAGAATAGGTGGTATCTGGCAACAGTAGCAATTTGTGAGAGGGATCAAAGTGTCCTTGTAGACTACCATTTAAGTATGAACCAGCAGTTTGCTGGAGCTGTCAAAAAAGCTAATGCAGTCTTAGGTTGCATCAACAGAGTTAGTTTAAAGATCACAAGTGATAATACCACTTTTATACTGCACTGGCAAGGCCGTACTTGGAATACTGCATCCAGTTCTGGTCACCATGATAGAAAAAAAGTTGTTGAGACCATAGAGTGTAGAGAAGAGCAACAAAGATAAGGGGTCTGGAAGCTAAACCATATGGTTTATGATAAATGATTAAGGGAACTAGGTATGCCTAGTCTTAACAAAGAGAAGGGCTAGGAGTGATCTTCCCAGTACATAAGGGGCAGTCATATGAAAGGAGTCGACCTACTCTCCAAACACCCAAGTGCAGGACAAGAAGTAATGAGTAGAAGATCATTAAAGAGAGGTCCAAACTAGAACTATAGAGAAATTTCCTGAGAGATTAATCAACGGAACAATTTACCTCTGGAAGTTGTAGTTGCTCTTATCACTGGTGGGTTTCAGGAAGAGACTGGACAGCCATTTGTTGAATGGTATAAGTTCTGCTTGAGCAGAGGGTTGGACTAGAAGACCTTCAAGGTCCTATGTTCTGTGTATTACAGATGCTGTAGTGGATTCTGCATTGAGATAGATCCTTCCAACTATAATTCTATAGATGGGAAGTTCTGAATAGATAGAGAACTACTTCACTAAGTCTATAGCTGCTGCTGAACTAAGGAGCTATTGGATATGATGGCTACTAGCCTGTACATATTAAAAGATTTTAAACACTTAAAACATAGATTACTAGCATCTATCAGCATCTATCATGATTACTACCGGCTGTGGAATTCTGGGAGTTGAAGTCCATACATCTTAGAAGTTGTCACATTCCCTTAGGATGGGCTCCAGCTCCGGTCCAAAAGCTTGGAAGAATAAACCTCTGGTCTCGGTGATCGACTCAGATTGGATCCCACAGTATATCTTTCCCTTGACTGACGGAGCAGCGTCCTCGTATTTTCTCAACCCAACAAGCCATTCTGCCCCAAAGCCCTTCAGCTTCACTCCCGAGACATTGAAGCTGACACTTCCTGGCTCTGATTTCAAAACTCCATTGATAGAATAGAATTTTATTGGCCAAGTGTGATTGGACCTACAAGGAATTTGTCTTGGTGCATATGCTCTCGGTGTACATAAAAGAAAAGATACATTAATCAAGAATCATAAGGTACAACACTTAATGATAGTCATGGGATACAAATAAGCAATCGAATCATATTAGGAAACAGTCAATATAAATCATAAGGATTCAAGCAACAAAGTTACAGTCATACAGTCTAGCGGAAGGAGATGGGTGATAGGAACGATGAGAAGATTAATAGTAGTGCAGATTTAGTAACTAGTTTGACAGTGTTGAGGGAATTAATTGTTTAGCAGAGCGATGGCATTCGGGAAAAACCGGGAAAAAATACATCTCTTTATTCTGCATTTATCATTTTGCTGTATCCTTCTTTTATACCAGGCTTTGTCCTGTTTAACAACAAGCACGCCTAACTAACCTTCAATTCTATCTTTGCGGCGTGCGTTTCAAACGACGGCCCCTAACCCCTCCCTTTGTGAACCTCTCGCTACAAGGGGTGGGCGAGGAAATTATTCTTGATTCCCTACCCTTCAGAACCCGCCTCCCGCCTGCGACGATTGGCTGAATTAGGTCTCAGCCCTAAAATAGCCTGAGAATGGCGCGCAGGCGCGCAGGCTTTCGGGGGCTCGGCTGCGGAATCAGCTGGCGATCCTTGGCTTAAGAGAAAGCCCCGAGTTGCTTTCTCTCCTGCAACATGGTAAGGGAGGGCGGGGGCGGTCGGTGCATCGGTGCAGTTCACCGCCTTTGCTTCGCCCTTTAAAATTCTGAGTAGGGATGGAGTGACGGATTGGTTGTTGATCGAGACTCGGGCGGAGCCTTTCCGGAATGCGATGGGATGACCAAAGGAAGGCTGAGGATCCCCACCCCCACCCCCGTGGGATGCAGGTGTCCCCCTTCGCTTCCTCAGCCCAGAGTCTGGTGGGATGAGGCGAGGCGTGTCTTGTCATTGCTTTGCACAGGATACAATCGCTTTCATGTCTTCTGAAATATGCCTTTTAGCTGGCCTTTTCACTTCTGGCTTGCTTAACCCAATAAATTTAAGTTAACTATGATTTTTCTCAACCCTGTTTTCCGGTTTTACGCTGTAAATTGAGCACTAAGGCTGGTTTTGCACAGCACCCGAGGAAACTGAGATGTGACTGGCTAGTTCGTGATGCATTGTGTCCCGAAAGAGCCGTCATGTAGGTACCCTGTGTAATATGCAGTGATCACCTTTACTTGACAGCTTGATCACTTGACAGTGATCACCATTACTTGACAGCTGAATCTTGTGATTGTGCCAATATAAAGTGTGGTTGGGGATAGTTGGACGAGTCCAGCTGTTGTGTTATTGTGTCCTGTGAACCTGGCCATTATGCTAAGTCATAATATGGACTGTTCATTTAAACCTTACATGTGTTCTGTTAACGCAGCAACTATAACTTATGTTCCAAACTTGTCTCAACAAACCAGCCCTATGATCAGTGTTGTGATCTTTTCTAGCAATGTTGCTGAAAAGCAATCAGATCTATATACAGTTCTCCGACAATGGTTGCTTTGTTACTTTGTCTTAAAACCAGTACAATATGTTGACTCTTGTTATTATATCAATATTGCTAATATTGGATTCAAAAATAAGGAACTCATGGACATAGTTGAGGATATCATGTTTTCAGAAGTAGCTCTCTTCAAAGATTTCTTTGAGAGAACCAAAACTCAAAAGATTTCAGTGAGAATGAATTATGCTCAATATCTATAGAATAGTGTTTCCAAGGAAACAAATCCTCACACTATTACTAATTAGAAAGTGATCATGGCACTATTCTGGCTTCCATTATTTAATCATTTATTTTTGGAAAGAAAAAAAGTTGTTCTAACAGATTCTAATGGAAAATAGTATTAGCTACAGGAAGTAAAATTCCATGAATTAGGCAGAGTAATGGCACAATTAAAAAACAGCTTCACATTCTACTTATGTAATGGTTTGATTGTCTGGTTGAAATGAAGTATTCTTTTTAGAAGAAGGATATGTTTCCTGTAACATTTTTCCACAGATTTCAGTTGCCCTTATATATATATCCATATATGTATATATATCCATATATATATATATATATATGTATGTATGTATGTATGTATGTATGTATGTATGTATGTATGTATGTATATATAAAGACACATATATATCCTTATATATATATTCAAGATGACCTAAATTTCTGTGCATGCAGAGTCCCAGTCTAGCAGATTTGCTTCTCTTTATCTCTCTGTCCTGGTGCAAGTTAAACTCAGTTTTATGCTTGATTCATCACTACGTCATAGCCTGAAGTAGAAAACAGAAACAGGAATCTTACAATGTATTAACAAGCACTGTCTTTAGCTGCACGATTTCTTATTTAAAATGAGTTCGTTTTCAAAGTACTATATATATTCTGCTTTTTCAAGTGCATATGATATAGCAACTGGTCTGTCCTTTGAACATTTCTGAAGATGTCTTTTTAAAAAATGTTCTTGGCATCCATTGCAAACCTTAGCTTACTCTTTTGCTTTCCAGATACTTTTTTTTTTTTTAATTTTGAGCTACTTTTTCCTCATGGCCTTCCTTCTTTCTTTCCACTTCTTATGTATGTCCCTTTTGGTTTTCAAATCTTCCCCAAGTCATTTTTTATAGTCACATGAACATGAGTTGCTTCTTCCTTTTTACTTCATTGAAATTGTGGGCAATCATGTTGTTATTTTCTTTTTTTAAAATAAATTCTTGTTTACCTTGTTTACCTCTAATCTTTTGGGGAATTATTTGCTCTGAATCTAAATTTGCTTTCTTGAAGTTCAGAAGCTATGCTGGCTGGAGAATTCTGGGAGTTGAAGTCCACAAGTCTTAAAGCTGCCAAGTTGGGAACCCCTGATATATATAGTCTCTACTACTGTCTCCTAAGTATAATTTTATCTGGCTAAAGGTTTTTGTTTCATCTGTGTCAGCATCTCATTGCCACTAAAGCCATGATGCTCCAGATGCTGAC